CTTCTATAATTGAAACTTTGTAGCCTTGAGAGGAGCTCAGAGCCGGCCAGGGCAGGCGGGAGGGAAGCTTGGCTTCCTCCATTGCCAGGGGCAACCCACTCCTGCTCGCTCCAGCTCCGTGGCCACGGGCTGATGAAAACAAGTATCTGCGGTTTATTTACCTTCTATAATTGAAACTTTGTTGCTTTGAGTGTAACTTAGAGCCGGCCGCAGGCGGGGAACCACCTTGGCTTCCTCCATCATTGGAGCAAGCAAGCCTCCTGCTCGTTACAGCTCCGTGGCTGCCGGCCGCCATCTTTGTTGGCAGTTAATTTGCATATCTCGCTGATTAGCCAATGGGAGACGTAACGAAGGTATGGTCAATTGCCATGTTTGTCTATTATTAGGTAAGATACCGGAGGCCCAGTGCGCAAAATTCATGCACGGGTAGGGCCCCTAGGCCTGACCAACGATCAGGGTTGATCTGTAGAGCGACTGGCAAGGCGATCAGGGGGGCCCCCCTCTGGCACCCACCTTGGCTGGCCTGGCGCTGCCCACTCGTCATCCCTGCCCCCGCCACCACTGGTCGCCTCCCTCTGTGGGGTGACCGGTGGGGCAATCGGGAGGCCCCTGCTGGGACTCGCCTTGGTTGGCATGGCGTCACCCACTCGCGGGCCCCGCCACCCATCTCCCACCTCCCTCTGAGGGGCAACTGGCAGGGCGTTGGGGGGGGAGGCCTGTTGGCATCAGCCTTGGCTGGCCTGGCACTGCCCACTCACCGGCCTCGAACCCCGCCACTGCCCATCGGGGCCTGCGGGCTGCGGGCAGCTCCTGTGTTGAGCGTCTGCCCCCGGTAGTCAGTGCGCGTCATAGAGACCAGTCATTCCACCAGTCATTCTGCCGTTTGGTCAATTTGCATATTAGGCTTTTATTATATAGGCTAAGCTCTAAGAAGACAGTATTTTTGTCAGTTTTCTTTCCCAGTGCTCAGAGCACAGTACCACTCAATATTTTTAAATGCATAAAACAATAAACAAATAAGGTTTCTCTTCAAAACAGTATCTGATAAGACTGTATAAAATGGTCCCTTACCATTCAAACTGACATTTTCTCAGTATCACATAAAATAAATCAACTTTTTAAAAATTAATTTATTTATTTATTTATTTTGTTAATCTTCACCCAAGGATTTTTTCCATTGATTTTTAGAGAGAGTGGAAGAGAGGGGGAGAGACAGAGAGAAACATCAATGTGAGAGAGACACATCAATTGGTTGTCTCCCGCATGCCTGAAAAATAGACATAATTTTGATTAGTCTCCAAAAAGGAATAATAGTAATTACCTATCCTTTTTGCTCTAAAGTGACTTTTTAAAAAATCAGGTGCCTATATCCTATATAATAAAAGCCTAATATGCAAATTGACCAACAGTGGAATCATGACATGTTTTTCTTTTGTGAGAAGAAAAAAAATCCTGAAATAAGGAGTGCTCATTTCCTTTCAGTTAAAGTCCCTACAGTGACCATCTATCTATATAAAACCCTAATATGCAAATCGACTAAACTGTGGAATGACCGGTCGCTATGATGCACACTGATCACCAGGGGGCAGATGCTCAATTCAGGAGCTGCCCTCAGCCCTCAGGCCCCGACTGGTGGTGGGGGCAGGGGGCGGGGCCAGCAAGCAGGCGGTGCCAGGCCAGCCAAGGTGGGTGCCAGCAGGGACCCCCGATCACCCTGCCGGTCGCCCCACAGATCAGCCCTGATCACCATCCAGACCTAGGGAACCTACCCATGCACAAATTTCGTGCACCAGAACTCTAGTTTGTATATAAAGATTTCTGGTACCAAGAATTAACCAATCAGACATAACCTTATTATGCAACATGGCCAATAGATGCAACTCTATTGTATGACCTATATATTTATGGTTCAAGACAGGGCATTCACACTGGATGGCTATTGTTGTGTTGGCTATTGTCATTTTTTTCATTGACAATCTAAGGAAAAAGAGGTCAGTGCCCCTGACTAGTTAGGTATTGCTTGTTTTAAAAATTCTTGCAGCATACCCGTTGAAAACCACTGCTTTATATCAACAAAATAGTCTTCCACACAAATGTTCTCATCTGATCCTCAACAATCCTTTGAGGTCTGTGTAAAGCAAATAACAAAAAGCCTAGAGGTAAGAAAACATACTTTAACCCTCAAAGCATGACATAATGTCAAAACTGGGAATGAAGTCTCTTGATTTCTATGCTACCACACCTCCTCTTGCAAATGATATTGAAACAGACTATAAAATCACATAGCCATATTTATGCTGAAGATACTAAGCTTTCCCAAACCATTCAATGTCTATGCAGAATGGAAACAAACAAATTCAGTTCAAAAAAGTCACAATCTCAACTTGAGGAATAAGAATTCAAACTGCTTCTTGTCACTTACTACTATAAGTCTAACCCAGAGTCCAATGACATTTAGGAAGAATTTAAAGAATTAATTGTTATACTGCACATGAAGGAAGTTCTTACTAAGCTATGACAATTGCTAGAAAAAAGGGAGAATAGAAAGGTAGATGAAACCAGTGAATTGAGAACTGAGTTCTAAAGAGGAAAGTCAAGGTTATATCATTATTTTATAGTGCTCTGACTGCCTAAGTAATGCAATTTTGCAATAAAAGAAAAAAGACATACCTCCTCAAAATCCCAGCACAACAGCTTGGTTTCTTTGCATAGATGAGGATGAAACGTTGTAATCCAAAATGTTCCCAAAAAGGTTATTTTTTTAAAAGACATAGAAATAGAAGATCCATATGAAAAGAGATCCAATCTGGGAGGATGGAGACTATCTTCTAAATCTTGTGATCAAGAGCAGCTGTTTACCAATATCAGCATCTGAAGAAAGTGCTAACTGCAGTTGTGTCTTCTGAAGAGAGTAATACCTCCTGGGACAAAGGAGTAAGAGAAGGAAAAAGAAATACTACTGAATGCAAAGGAGTGGCTGGCAAACAATTACCACTCGTTAGTCTCAACATTTTTCAAGTTGGTATTAATGAATATTAAAAGATCAAGTGGAGGTAAATACAAGTGGGTGAGCCAACTGATAATGGGGTTATCAAAGACAGCAGCAATCAAAAGTACACTTCAGTCCTGGCCAGGTAGCTCAGCTGGTTAGAGTGTAGTCCCAATAAGCCAAGGTTCCAGATTCGATCTCCAGTCAGGTCACATACAAGAAGCAACCAATGAATGCATAAATAAGTGGTACAACATATCGATGTTCTCTCCCCCCCCCCCCCCCCAATCAATAAATAAAATGTAAAAACAAAAACAAAAACAAAGGTACACTTCAGCAGGTGATCCAGTTCTCTATTTCATGATTTTTATAGTAAGACTAGTGACCTCCTGCATGCATTCATGCAAATTGAAAGGAAATTAATTAGAAGGTGGCTGGCAGGGCGGGACTGGGTAAGACGAGCCAGACACACCTCCCACAGTCCCTTCCTGTTGGCCACACCTGGGGCAGCGCCGTGGCTCAAAGGGCATCTGCCAAGTGAGCAAGGTCCCTCCGGCAGGTGGGGTCCCTCGGCCTGGCCTGCAGGGATCAGGCCCGAACTGGCTCTCCAACATCCCCTGAGGGCTCCCAGATTGCAAGAGGGCGATTCACCGTAGCTCGGCAGCTCCTGCGTTGAGCGTCTGCCCCCTGATGGTCAGTGCACATCATAGCTACTGGTCAGAGCATCTGCCCCCTGGTGGTCATTGAGTGTCATAGCTACCGGATGGACAGTTGGTCAGATAGTCGCTTAGCCTTTTATATATATACTAGAGGCCCGGTGCACAAAAATTTGTGCACTCGGGGGGGG